GAAGGTCTTAATAAGCTTAAGATTATTAAACTTTCAGGTTATAAAGCTCTGTCAGAAATAGATACCTTGGAGCACAAGTCTGAGCTTGAAGACCTTGATCTTTCATAAACCCAGATTTCGACCATACCAAACCTATCTTCTACCAAACTTCGTTCTATTATTCTGAATAAGTGCACCCAACTCAAAGAAGCTCCAGATTTTAAGATCTCTACCAAGATTTGCGAGCTTGACCTACGTGGTACAAGCTCTTTGAATTTGAAGGGTATAGATTTTGAAGCTTTGAGTCGTCCGTCTGAGCTTCGGAGACTAAGGTTATCCAAAGTTGCATTTGATTGCATTGGATCTTATTTGGCAAATTTGAAGCAACTTGAGGTTCTTGATCTTTCTGGAGAGGCTGTGGAGTCTTTGCCCTCCTTTCTCTCCAGCTTTACTGATTTAAAGCAGCTTTTGCTAAAAGGTTGTTCGAGTTTAAAGGAGTTGCAATGGCTGAAATCATTGAGTCAGCTAGATGTGCTTGATCTATCAGGGACCCAGGTGAAAAATCTTGGGGACGAAATTTCACCGTTAAGAAATATAAAGAATCTTCATATACCGGAGGAGGTGGCTAAAGAATTTAAAGGTGGGAAGAACGTTGACGCCCTACCGATGGAGCTAAAGCTGGATCCCTGTTGTATCTCTGAGCCTTCTGAGATTCCTCATGGGGATAAGAAGCCAAGGATAGTTGTGCATGGCGTAGAACTTCTCAAAAGTTTGAAGGAAAATTCCACATTGCTAGAGAGTATTAGGTATTCAATTTCATCGGTTCGAGCATAATGCAAAGATGAGGACAATTACAGTGACAACCGTAAGCATATCTTCGGTGATATCTACACCACGAACTGAAAAATTCATGCTAAAGAAGAAGTTGGTCAATCTTTGGAAATCCATGGATTTGATGATTTTCCCACTGGTGTTGAGGTTCTTCTGGAGCATGCCAAGTATGTCTTCTTGGTCGAAAATGGTTTTATGAAGAACTTGTCTGATTTAAAGCATGATAGCTTGAAGAACATCAGTGGTTGTTGGTTAGAGCGATGCAACAACATGGCAAGCATTGTTGCGGAGGCAGATCAAGGGAAGTGGGGAACCCTTGAGATTTTATGGATTTTGAACCTTCCCGAGTTGAAGAGTTTTTACGACGAGAAGGTGCAATCCCTGAGTTTTGGGAGCAGCATAAAGCGTTTGTACATCGACTGCTGCCCGAAGCTTGAAACTCTTTTCCCATAAGGGATCCCAGAAAATCTTGAAACTCTCGAAATTACATTTTGTGATAACTTAAAGAATTTGGTCGGAGATAAAGGCCCGGACGACAAGGAAACCCAGATCCCGGATTCGACAAATCAGAAAATGCAGACGATGAATCCAAAAGACAAAGAACCTAAGACCGAGACATGCACAAGCAAAAAAAGAGCCGAACATGTCGTCGTCGTCAGGCAAGAAATTGTCGGATATGACCAAGAGTTCAGCCCCAAAACAAATGCAGGAGATGAGTACTGAAGATAATGTGAAGGAAAGGGAGGCGGCGGCTGCAAGTTCAGAAGACCAAGGCAAAGGACCAGAGGATGCAAGTCCAATAGACAAGGGGAAGAACGACGTGGAAGCAGAGACGCATGCTGCAAGTCTAGAAGACAACGGAGATGAAGGACCGGAGGGTGCAAGTTCAGTGGATAAGGGAAAGAAGAACAAGGAAGTAGAGACGCAGGATCCAAGTATAGTAGATAAGGTCAATGGAGTAGACAAGGTCAAGGAGGACAAGGAAGAAGAGACAAATGCTATCGGTTTAGCAAACAAAGAAGGGAAGGCCCAGACGCAAAGCACAAGTGGAATCAATCTCAAGCATGTGCATATATCCTATTGTCCAATGCTTGAAACCGTTTTCTCATCACAGCAGGTGCCTGAAAAGCTGGAAATTCTCCGAATTAAGCATTGTGTTAAAATGAAGAGAGAGTTTTCGACGGAGTCAATCGACCTTGAATTACCAAACCTGCAGTCAGTGCATCTGTCAGACCTGCCAAATTGGACTAGTTCTGGAGCCGGATTTAAAATGAAGGAATCTGTTAAAAAGATCTTAGAGTTACCCACACCAAGGGAAGCCACTCCAGCTGCTCAGAATTAAGATTTGATGGAAGACAAAAGAAAAGACCTCAACAAGCAGGTTAGCCGTGCATAATTTCATGTTTGACATACTGATAGCTCCCCTGCATCTTTTCACTTTATACAATAATTCTACTGATATCATCATTATCTTCAAACATAAATCGACTATCTTGTCTCAGCTTGTTTATTGTGTTCTGAGGCATGACAGAAATACAGTGGATAAGGTAACAGATATAGAAAAGTAAAAGGAGGGCAGCCTAGAAGGTTTGATCATCTTAAAGCTGGACATACGAATCTCTGGTAAGTCAGATTGATTTGTTCAAGTAGAAAAGCAAAGAGAGATGATATCTTTAGATATTTGAATCTACATCTTTTTTTATGATAATCAATATATAACTTTTTTTCTTGGTAAAGCAGTCAGCTATGTTCTTTATAGGTTTGATGATACCATGATTTTTGGTGCTAAAAATTGAATGACTGATTGGGGCATTTAGACACTGCTGTTTCTGTAAACATATTGGCCTAAACAACTAACCCTATTCCAAACTGCAGATGTTTCCCTATTAGCAATACAATCATAAATAAAGGATCCAAACAGCAAGCTGCCCCCAATTAGTACACAAGGAAATAAATGGTTTTTCCAGGATGAGCTTCGTGTTCAAACATTAGTTGCAATGTCATGTTTTTATGCTTAGTTTCAAGTATTCGAAGAGTGCCCTATCTTTTCAAGACTTGAATAATTTCCTGAATGTACTAGTATTAGAGTGTGCATTAGAGTTGTTTGTTTCGAGGCCATTTCTTTTCCCAGCGTCGTTTCAATAAATTTGTAATATTACTTGGAAACCTTCTCCCTTTATGTACCTTTATATATATATATATATATGAGTTTTCTTGATCTTCAATTCCACATTTTTACAAGTACTCTTACTCTTCGCCTAACTTAAGGAGTGCAAGAATGGTGAAATCCATAACTTCACTAACTTGAGCATCGAAGCTTGCTCCCGATACCCAACTCTGATGGACTCTGACATCCATTCCTTCTCCTGTCGGTATTCCACCACCTATCAATAGCCGTATTCATAGGCGCTCAATAAATACCATCATAAATGGACACAGAATTTTATACCAAAGACAACCTCATAAAATTTTAGAGAGAAATAAATTATCAATAATAAATATAAAATATATTTAAATTATATTTAAAATTTGTAAAGTACAGTTGTCCTACCAACCCCTCTATCCATCACCAGTGCAAATTCACATGGGATCTACTAAAAGCCTCTTACTGTAAGAAAGAAATAACTTCAGCCGTACGGTATATCCATGTGTGGGTTTGCTATATACATTCTTTCACATTAAGTCCCTTTGTACTTGTTTAATTATTATTTTGACCCACTTAAGTTGTATTTTTTTTTGCAGTTGGGTTCATACAACATGTTTATTTTTATTTTAGTCTCGACATGTTAATTAGTATGTTTATTTAATTATTTGTAACATTATTATTTATTTATTTATTTTAGCCTTTTAACCTCTAATTTTGTTCAGTTTAGTCATTTTATAGATTAATTATTGTTTTAACCACTGTAAATTTTATTTCTGTCAATTTTCCCTAACATATTATTTACTTACTTAAGTTTAGTATTATTTATCATTTTTAATTGTTAATCATGTTTATTAATACTGACATTTTTATGTTTTATTTATTTTGAAAAAAATAGACACCATTATATTTTTTCAAAGGTATTAATTTTGGATGTCATGGATGCTCTCACTTTTATCATGCATAACCGATTCTCGAACTTAATCTTAATCCTGATGTTAGAACAAACCAAATTTAAAGATATTTTATTATATCTAAACTAATACGATTGATGGCGATTCTATCTCTTAACGAAATTTTCAAATACTCTGAACATTTTAAAGACATCACAAAATGGCTTTAGAAAATGATGGAATTCAATTCAAATAGGTGAACCAAATTCTTGAAAGAATCATATGGTTCCTACTTGGCTGATATTTATTTTTATTTGCTCTGGGGTGAAGTAAGCTTTAAGATTCCGTAAATTAAGAAAGAGCAAATTATGTATTTAGTACCTAAACTTTCATGTTTGATCTTCTTTAACACCTAATTTTTTTAAAAAAAATTCAGAATCATACTTAAAGTTTAGTTTTTATTTTTATTTTTAGTACCAAAACACAAGTGTTGAAAAAATTGAAATTTTAGGTACCAAAACACGTTTAGTACCTAAACCTTACTTAAGTTTTGAAAAAAATAGAAGTTTAGGTACTAAAACGGACCATAACTGATAATTTAGGTACTAAACGCGTCAAGTTTTTAACGACGGGTACTAAAATTAAATAAAAATGAGATATTAGGTATAACTTTGAAATTTGAAAGTTTAAGTACTAAACACATAATTTACCCGTCAAGAAAAAGAAAAAGTGGTAAAAGCCGAAGCTCTACCATTATGGTGAAAAGTGAAAACCACGGATCAGGGATAACTTGGAAAAAACTCGAACTACGATTCTCAGCAAGAAAAAGTAAAAGGGGTTGAGAGACTGACTTAATTACCTTTAATAAAGTAAATACACTAAGAGTATTTATTTCATTGTAAATTAAAAAATGACTTATTTATAATAATATTTTAATTGAATGATACGCTTATAATTTTAAAAAAATATTTTTTTATCAAATTCATAATTAAGTGACTTTAAATGTAATTTACTCATATTTTAATGGAGGGCTATATGATAATATGTGCTCCAAATACAAGATCATGTAACCCGGAAAAGCCCATTATCCGCCCAGTTTAACTTGCACAACAAGCCGACCCGAAATATAATTATCCTTTTCTCTTGGCTCCGATCTTTAGTCGATTTTCTTGTTTTCCTCTTCAGAACTCTTATTGAGACACAGAAAACCAAAGTTGAAATTTCTAAATCCTTAAGGCTTCAGCTTTTCTCTCTGGGCTTCGACTCTGTGGGGTGTATTTGAGATCCATGGCGGCCTTGCAATACCTAGAGTCTATTCAAAATGAACATCCAGAGCTAGCCGACTGGTACAATTCTCTTGCAGATCTGTATCAGAAGAAACTCTGGCATCAGCTCACTCTCAAGCTCGATCAGTTCGTTGCACTCTCCGCCTTTCAGGTATTTAATTCTATTCTATGTTGTTTGGGTTTGGAGTTCGTAGATCTCTTCTGTATTTTGGATTTCAGAATTGGAGACTTGGGGTTTTTGAATGGAGTCAATTACCTTTTTCTTTTTCTGTTCTTTTCTTTTTCCCTAGGGTTTTATAGTAGAATTAGGATTTCATTTCGGGGTTAATTAGGGTTTATCTGTTTTTTTATGACTATTTTTAGTTTTAACTTTGGAACGAAATAAATAAGAAATGTTTATTGCCTTGTTGTTTAATAACTCTGAGATTGTTAAAGAAAGTATACTCAGTTGCGTCTTGCCTTTTAATTTTTATTGTAATGTTTTTGCTCATGTAATTGTTGTTAACTTGCAGTAAGAAAGGAAAATAGTGGAAACCTTCGGGCTTGCACGCGGGATTAAGTTTGATGAAGTATATGAAAAATGAAAATTAGCATCTAAAGCTTTTTCATGTTTATTTCAGGACAAAAAACTTCTCTTAATTGTATAATTGAAAGCATTAGGGGCTATTCTTTTGACTTATGTTTTTGTATTCTACTTCTGGAAAATTCAATTGTGGTTTCCTACTGCCCTTTTGTGCCTGTGTATAATGCATGGATAACTAATCTGAAGCGTGGCTTACATGACGATTTTTCATTTTGAAAGTTGGCTTTCTATTTGTTTTAGTGCTTCATGCGGACATATTAGCAAATGAACTAATTGTACCCCCTGTGCTAGATGTTGGCTAGTTCATCTAATTTCCAATAGCACTTGTTTCTCTTAAATTTCAGGCTGGAGATGCACTGATAAAGTTGTATCACAACTTTATCACTGATTTTGAGACCAAGATTAATCCTCTCAAGCTTGCACATTTTGCTGTTATAGTTTCTCAGCAGTACTCAGAGAAAGAGGCTGCTATCAGTTTTCTTGAAGGGGTGATTGAAAAGCTTCAGGCTACTAAAGAGCGGCGCATAGAAGAGCCAATTCTTTATATTAAGATGCAAATCTCCAAATTCAAGCTTGAGCAAGGTGATCAAAAGGAATGCAAGAAACTTCTTGATGATGGAAAGAGTACCCTTGACAGTATGACTGACATAGATCCTTCTGTATATGCTACCTACTATTGGGTTTCATCTCAATACCATAAATTTCGCCAAGAATTTGCTGAGTTCTACAAATGTGCTCTCCTTTATCTTGCTTACACATCAGTGGAGTCTATCTCAGAATCTTTTAAGTTGGTATGTTTTTATTGGTTAATGTTTTCTATGCCAGTCCAATTTTATTACCTTATGATATTCTTGGAGCTTGTTAATCATACTTTTAAAAAAATGTTATTTACATTTGAGACTGCAGATAGTTGAATCTGGTTATTCGAAGTCCAGCATTATACTAACAAGCCCAACGGTTGTTGGTCATTAATTTTGCTTTTTTATGAAGCTTGTGTTACACTTCCTGTTGGTCAGACTTCAGATTCCCTCTGAGAATTGTTTTATCTACCAATTCATGTAACAGCACTGCCTCTGAAGTCTAAAGCCATGTCTTACTAGTTTTTTGAACCCTTTCTTTCATGCTAAAACTTCTTCTCTTATTTCCGATGTCTATAATTGTATAATATGATGGATGAATCAGGTTGCCAGGTATACATTTGATGACAAAAACGCACAAAAATGGCATTTGCACCTTTTTATTTGGCTGCTGAATATATTTATCCATTGGCTTTATTTCATTGTATTTTATTTTAAATTCTTTGGTATAGGATTTGGCATTTGATCTGTCCCTTTCTGCTCTTTTGGGCGATAACATTTACAACTTTGGAGAACTCCTTGCTCATCCAATTGTGAGTACATTTTTTATCAAGTTTTTTAATTTTACTATATTTTTTATCTGATGGTTTTACTGGCAAAATATTTTCATGTTGCGGCAGCAATATGAGCCATTATTTAGTTCAAATGATATTCCTGACTGTTTGTTCCTTTTTAACGAGTTTTGTCGGTAAAAGTTAACTTTTAATTGATGATACTCTGACCTGCTTGTTATTTTCTCTTTTATTAATATTTGAAGCATGTATAAGTTAACTCTTAGTTCAGGATACTGCTATTTACCCGATAAATGCCAGCAATGGTTCATTGAGGCATATTTCTGTGTCTGTTTTTATCTAAAATCTGATATAATTCCAATGTAGATGGAGGGTTTAGTTCAATTATAGTTTGGGCTGTTAATCAAGCTTTGGTTTGATGAAAATTTTTAAGCACCTTTTGTCTGTAGAGAGCTCCTCAAAAATGTTATGGAGATGATCGATGTAGTGCTTGATTAAGAAAATTGCTTCTATTTGCACAAAGATAAGGTTCGTAGGTCTAGTTTATGATGCTCAGGTTAAACATATGTGGAGGTTCAAGGGAGCTAAGTAGTGGCTGAAAGGTGCCGGCTGATAAGAGCTTCTTTTTGTTTTGTATTTTCTTTTATGCTATTGCAATTACATATGCGCATATGCTTATTTTTCATTGTGTAGGGCTGATTTAAAAGGCTCCTCGAAAATGTTACGGAGATGATCGATGTAGTGTTTGATTAAGAAAATTACTTCTAATTGCACAAATGTAAAGATCATAGGTCTAGTTTATGCCTTCTTTGGATATTTGGAAGTTTATTCCGGGTGTAGTGTTATGGTCAATTTGGAAGATTAGAAATGAAATTATCTTTGATAAAGGAAAATTGGACAGACTTTCACTGTTTTTCACTGTTCGTTTAAGGCTAGCGAGATGGTTTTTAGCTAAGTATCCTCTTGCCTCTATTAAGGTGGATTCTTTAATTGGTGATCCTTCCTTGGCAGATAGTATTTCTGCTTCTAAGGAATTGTCCAGGCCTATGTACTGTTGGATTCGTCCTCCTGTAGATTTTTTTAAGATGAATGTGGATGGGGCTTTTAGTAGAGTTGGGAGGGTTGCTGGAATTGGGGGCCTTCTCAGGGATTGGAATCGGGTTACACTTATGTCTTTTTCAGAAAATGTTGGTACTACTCCTCCCTATCTAGCAGAACTGAAAGCTATCAAAAAAGGCCTTGATATCTTTGTTTCTTCAGAATGGTTGTCGAAGGGCAGGCTCATTATTGAAAGTGATTGTAAGCTTGTAGTGGATTGGATCAAAGACCAAGCTTTAGTTCCTGTTTTCCTTACAAATTTTGTTAAGGAAATTGTGTCTATTATTTCTGTTAGAGATTTTATTGTTAGGTGGATTCCAAGATGTTGTAATTGCGAGGCTGACAAGCTAGCAAAGGAGGGGATCTGGTGATTTTGCATTCTGTTTCAGTTGGGGATTGTTTTAGAGCTATGTTGCTATAGGAGTGTGTGATGTCTTATGTTGTTTGTAAAAGTGTATTTAAGTCTTATGTAATTCGGCTATCATTAATAAATTGAGGTACTCTTTTCCTCCTTCCGCTAGTTGGTTCTTACCTTAGTGCAAAGAACCACTAAGAGGGAGGTTTTTAATGAGACATCCTATTCCTATCAAAAAAAAAAAAAAGGGTCTAGTTTATGATGGCTAGGTTAAATATATGTGGAGGTTCAAGGAAGCTAAGTAGTGGATGAAAGGTGCCAGATGATAAGGGCTTCTTTTTGTTTTGTATTTTCTTTTAGCTATTGCAATTACATGCATATATGCTTATTTTTCATTTTGTAGGGCTGATTTGAAAGGCTGCTTGTGTTGTAGGTTTTTTCCTTCTGAATTTCTTTGCGTTAATGTTTTTATTTTGTTATGTTTGAGATTACATTTGGCATCTTTTACAGATAAAGAGTCTTCTGGGGACCAAGGGGAGTGGCTTAGTGTTCCCCAAGGGACGAGGTCAAAGTTGCTGATAATTGTAAGTATGGTTAAAAACTAAACTACAATATGTTTTGATGCAGCCGCCCATCCGATGATCGAACTATTCCATTAAAAGTTATTGCTGAGAGAACAAAACTGTCGATTGAAGATGTCGAGCATCTTCTCATGAAGAGCCTGTCTGTATGTTAAAAGTCTTCTTCACATTTCTAGTGTTTGTTTTTTCACTTTTTCCTTTTCCTTTGATTAAGGGGAACAAATATATTTTGATGCAAGCAAAAGGAAAAAACAAATTATCAAGTATTGTATTACATTAATCTGGCTCCTTAGGTGGTTCAAAATTCTAAAGATAACTTGTATAACCTTTTTTTTGTGAATAACGACTGCAGGTTCATCTGATTGAGGGCATAATTGATCAAGTTGAGGGAGCAGTTCATGTTTCTTGGGTGCAGCCAAGAGTTTTGGGAATTCCACAGATCAAATCCTTGCGTGAGCGGTTGGATAGTTGGATGGAAAAAGTGCATACTGCCTCGTTATCGATTGAAGCTGAAACACCTGATCTTGTTGCATCATGATTTTCCTGTCCGGATCCTTCTTCCCATTGTAACAATTTCGTTATTCGGAAAGAAAGAAAAGGAGAGAGAGCGACGAGCAATGAGGATATCTATAAGTGTTGGTGATGTGTGCAGGTATTGCTTGATCCTTAAATCATTGTTCTGAAAGGAGGGGCTCGTGTACTAAACTTTTCACGTTTTCGCATTCGTTGGATCTACAATGGCAGTTGCATGCCTGAGGACACAGTTAAAACTGAAAAACATCATCCTTCTCTTTCTTCAAATTTGTATTGGGATTTTTCGTCAGATACAATCAAATCCACTTTTATGTGGATGAAAGTGCATTTTCATTTCCTTTTCTGCATAATTTATATTGTTTGGCTATGCTATACTAGGCGAAGTCGTACTTCTGGGCTATTTAACTACTAAGATGTTTAAGTTTGCCACTTACCTGTTATGTAAATGAATCTTATACATGATTAAGCTGCTACTTAAAGAATACAAAGCAACCACAATGATGCTCCTAGTCTCTTATTCAAGCAAATTCCGAATGCAGTCATTCTTGACTCACAAACGGCGAGGAACTAAAGTCTGTGCTGTAAAATGAGTCCTCTCCTCTGTAGTTTTCGTCTTCCTCTTCCCATTTGAGAACCTCTCTTATATATTTAAATGCTTCATCAATAGATACCCGGTGATCCCTTGACCTAGCTTGTGACACGAAGAGCTTCTGTCCGGTAAGGGAAGCATAAAGATCCTTTTACTTCATTGCAACGTAAAAGTAGGCCTGTTGAGCCAGAGACTAGTGACTATGAACTTGTCTCACTGAGCTGAAATCATTGAACCATTAATGCTTAAAGGCACCCGATTGACCTTGTCCTCAAACAGATCATACTTGTTTAGTATCAACACAAAAGGGGTATCCTTAAAGCAAGGGTGCCTTATCATCGTTTCAAATAGCTCCTCGTCTGCATCATCTTTTTTTGAAGTAGTGATCCACTGCCGCTGCTGCAAGGGTGCCTTATCATCGTTTCAAATAGCTCCTCGTCTGCATCATCTTTTTTTGAAGTAGTGATCCACTGCCGCTGCTATCTGGTGCTATCGACATCAGATCATAATCACTGAGGACAACACAGAAGACTACTACTGGCACATCCTCAAACATTTCCACCCACTTGCATCCTTCATTAATCCCCTTCGTGTTTACCCTTATGAGTTGATACCTATAAAAGAAAAAAAAGGGAGATAAGTTAGCCTTACAGATGCAATACAAGATCAAATCTCATATGATCTAACGATAACCACTAGAGCTGAAAAGTAATTATATTTAATCTGTGAATGCATTGAACAATATGATAAAAGAAACAGACAGCAAACATTGGTGCTGTGACCGCATGTGATGAGAACATTATTGACCAAATCTTTCATTTAAGGCAACAGCGGAACCAGAATGTCAGGAAAGAATTACTCGGTTAGGGGTTGGGAGGGAGCTTCCAAATTGTCTGTGTATGTTTTGGACATTGGACTACGATCATCGAATGAAAACTGTAACACCCCCGACCCTCACCCAACCCGGATACGAATTTGAGGTGTCACATTGACTTTTCAACGCTTTGACTCTTTGAAAATCCGACTAAAATTTGACAATGAAAACAAATACTGAATATTTTTACATAACCTTAATAAAACATAGTTACAAGACATATCAGAGCTTTTGCGATTTAAACATTTATAGTACATGCCAACAAAATTTCAAATAACAAAATCACATACTATTCAAATCATTCTGATATGATATTCTTCAAAGATATCTTGTCTTGCCCTTGCTTACTCTGCTGACTTCTCTAAACCTACGTGCGAAAACATTCACATAAAATTGTTTAATTAGCCCAACGCATATCACTGAGAACTTAAGGTATGTGAATACTTTGAGGTTGTGCACTGTGATTGTAGTCGAAACTGCTGCGTAGAATTTGCACCGAAGTGCCACGTAGAATTTGCACCGAAGTGCCACGTAGAATTTGCACCGAAGTGCCACGTAGAATATGCACCGAAGTGTCACATAGATTTGTCCCGAAAGACCGCATAGAATTATCCCGAAGGACCGCGTAGAATCCTCAACTCTTGGTATGCCAATTATGCCTCTAATTCTCATAATACATACTTTTGGCTTTAACAATATAAATATTCACATAGCATTATTCGAATGATCATTTATTCACATAAACATATACTCATACAATGGGCGTAATTCAAAATCATATATTGTTCTCCATTAAAATCATTCATATAATCAAATATAAAAAAAATATCATATCAGACAGTTCATACCCAAAATATTCACATGCTATATAAAAAAATAAATTATCGTATAAAATAGTTTGGGTAATTCGTACCCAAAATCATATTAAAAAAACATTTAATAAATCAATATAAAAATATATTTCATAACATAATACAAATCATTTTATTCAAAAACATTTGAGGTTGGCTCATCGCAAGCCGTCCCCCAATCATATATAAAATAAATAAGTTGCACTCACTTTTGTCTCACTTAAATCCTAAGCAAAATCCTTTTTCACTTTCGTTAAATCTCTTTACTACTTCGTGTCGCTCTGTACTTACTCTTGATCGAAATCTACACATTAACATAACCAAAATGAATACCATATCTCAAATAATTGTTAACTCAATAGCATTTATATAAACTAAATAAAACCTCTAATTTACAATTTCAGGCTGAACATTATCGGTACTCTATACCCAGTATCGATACTTCCCATATATGGTACCGATACCTATAAAGAAAAAAACAACTATTTAGTTCATTTATAAAATATACGGCATTTAGTAAAGTTATTATTAAGAAATATTAGTTAATTATTATGTTGCTTTTAAAAATAAAGATAAATTGTACAAACCACACAAACTTGTAGTAAAAGAATTATTGTTATTTCTTGATATTTCATGTTCGAGCACCATAAATGCCAAGGATATGTACGTTCAATGTCAAATAGTTGAGTCTTCTGACTATTGAAAGTTATAAAATGATCATCCGACTATTCATGTATTCTAAACTCATCAGTGAACTCAATAAAATAATGTCACGTAATTTGGGGATCATTAGTGTACTTTAAATCAGTGTTACTAAGCACTAACTCAGTGTGTATATATAAATGGGCTTGGGTTGGGGAAAGGTTCAACGGGTTCGTAGAACTTAATGATATTTATTACCTTCTACAAATAGATGGGCTTACTTGGTATGCATGGCATGACCTTTGAGCATTAAAAATCCAATTCTGCAACTTGTTGATATTTCATTAGGCCTTACAGGAACTTCATTCTTTGGACTTGTGGCTCTTGTTTAACTTGGTCCCCCGGTGCTGAGATGGCCAGATATGATTCGCCCTCAAAACTCCAACAAGGAACCTATCTAATGAAGCCATGCTCACCCTCAACATTATCCTATCCAGAATCTACTCCTCTCATAATCTGACCTTTGCTTTCCTGGCTGGGATTCTCTTCTCAATCCCATGGATCACATTCAAACTCATTACACCATCTCTTCTTCTCACACTGCTTCTGCAATTCACTTCTCTGATTATAGTCCAACTGCATACCATAATCTTAATTTCTTTTGACCCTTTTTTGCCACTCTACTTGCACACCCCAAAGGTCATAAATTTCACCCTTTTGTCATATTATGGTCTTCATGTTATTCCCATATGGCATTTTAGATTGGTAAAACATGATGTAGATAAACGCTATGGCTGGGACTTCAGTCCTTCAGCGAACCAACTTCTTTTCACCTCCTGTAGATCCGTCACAAAGCTCAGACTTGAGTTTGAGGTTGAAGGAGCAACACTGCTTATCTCTCCTCAAGAGCTGCAAGAATTTGGAAGAATTCAAGCAAGCCCATGCCCAGATCGTCAAGTGGGGCATCTTTTGGAACTCCTTTTCTGCAAGCAATCTGGTGGCTGCATGTGCTCTCTCAGATTGGGGTAGCATGGACTATGCTTGTTCGATTTTTCGACAAATCGATGATCCGGGTACTTTCGAATTCAATACCATGATTAGAGCTTATGTCAAAGATATGAACTTTGGGGAAGCTTTAGCTTTTTATAGTGAGATGTTTGAAAGAGGGGTTGAGCCTGATAATTTCACTTATCCTGCACTTTTCAAGGCTTGTGCCTGGTTAAAGGCAAAAGAGGAAGGGATGCAAATTCATGGGCATGCATTTAAGCTTGGGTTTGAAAATGATGTGTATGTGCAGAACAGCTTGATCAATATGTATGGCAAATGTGGGGACATAGTACATGCTAGTTCAGTTTTTGAGGAAATGGATGAAAAGAGTGTTGCTTCTTGGAGTGCTATTATTGCAGCAAATGCTAGTTTAGGAATGTGGAATGAGTGTTTGATGGTATTTGGGAAGATGAGTAGTGAGGGATGTTGGAGGCCTGAAGAAAGCACACTGGTCACTGTGCTCTCTGCTTGTACTCACTTGAGTGCTCTGGATTCGGGGAAATGCGCCCATGGTGCCTTACTGAGGAACATTAGTGAACTCAATGTTATAGTTCAAACTTCCTTGATCGACATGTATGTCAAGTGCGGGTGTTTGGAGAAAGGATTATCACTCTTTCATAGGATGGCCAAAAGGAACCAGATGTCCTATGCTGTAATGATTTCAGGGCTTGCCATGCATGGACATGGTGAAGAAGCTCTAAGGATACATTCAATGATGCTTGAAGAAGGTCTTGAACCAGACGACGTCGTCTATGTGGGCGTATTAAGTGCTTGCAGTCATGCTGGCCTTGTCGATGAGGGCTTTCAGTGCTTTTATAGAATGAAATCTGGGCATGGAATAGAACCAACTGTTCAACATTATGGTTGCATGGTAGATCTTATGGGAAAAGCTGGGATGATCAATGAAGCTCTTGAGTTCATCAACAGCATGCCTATCGAGCCCAATGATGTGGTCTGGAGAAGCCTCCTCAGTGCTTGTAGAGTTCATTGTAACCTGAAAATTGGAGAGATTGCAGCTAAGCATCTATTCCAGTTGAACTCGCAAAATCCCGGTGACTATGTGATACTGTCGAATATGTATGCACGAGCTGAAAAGTGGCCAGAGGTAGCTAAAGTTCGAATGGAAATGGCTAGAAAAGGTTTAAGCCAGGTGCCAGGATTCAGCTTGGTCGAGGTTGAGAGAAGAATCCACAAGTTTGTCTCGCAAGATACGTCACTTCCTCGGCGCAAAAGCATCTACGAAATGATTCACCAGATGGAGTGGCAGTTGAAATTTGAAGGTTATACTCCAGACACATCTCAGGTATTACTGGATGTAGATGAAGAAGAGAAGAGACAGAGATTGAAAGGCCATAGTCAGAAGCTAGCCATTGCATTTGCGCTCATCCAGACGACTCAGGGCACTCCTATAAGAATATCTAGAAATCTTACGATGTGCAATGACTGTCATACCTATACCAAACTAATATCGATCATCTACGAACGTGAAATTATCATAAGAGATCGTAATCGGTTCCACCATTTTAAAGACGGAACTTGTTCTTGTAGAGATTACTGGTGAACCGATAAATTGCCATTTTCATGATTTTGATTCTTCCATCTGCCATGCTATTTCCATGATTTTGATTCTTCCATCTGTCATGCTATTTCCATTAAATTCTAATTTTATCTTTGCCAGCAATTGTATTTCTGAGAAAAAAATGAAGGAAAGAAAGAACGGTGCATTGAAACCACAGAACTCGCATGGTGAGAAATGCAGTCATGAATCAAATCATTTTCGTGTTACATTCTCTGATCGACACAGATGAAGAAGAAAGTTGCCAAACGATATAAAAGATCTAAAATCAACTTAAATTTTCTAAATCTGTTTGAATTGAAATTTTCCTCTTCCGTTCCTTACAAATTCAATGGTTTTCCAGGGTTTCTTCAGCGTTCAATATGAAATACTCAAACCAGCTTGAAAGAGAGTTCTACAGAAAAATAAATCAGAATCCTTTTAGCCTTTAGGGCTTTACATGCTCCCTGATAAACTGTTCTACTTGTGCTATTTCACCCTTCAAACCAGAAGCTTCGACAATGGTAACCGCGTTTCTACACTGAGAGAACGTAAATACTTCTCCGGGTACTCCTAGTGTGAAGTCATTTGAAATATCAGCTGCCGATATTGCACTTCTTGATGCCTTTAGTTTCTCACTATAAAATAGTAAAAACATACAGATCAAGTATATAATAATAATAAATGAAATGTGCAAAAGATTACATTTTCTAGAGAGATGCATATTTTTATGTGTCTATGCAAGCAGCATATCCCGAGTTTCTATTTCTATCTGTTGAAAGTATCGGCTAGGGTTTTGTGTAATTACAGAACCATAGAGCATGCAGAGAAAAATGAACTTGAGACCATACATTTCCTTTTCTAATTGCTTTCTGATGAACTCCTTGGTATGTGCAGTCACTTTATCAGATTTGTTGCAACAGATGAGAACTGGAATTTTCTTCTTGACCACACTGGCCCTGGTCAAAATATCATATAGATATCTGTTGCACAAAAGCGAATGTCATATTTAAAATCCTTCTTGGCAATCAGAAAGCGGAAGAAAGACTTGCAAGAGTAGCGTGTGCATTATCATAGCTATTCTTACTCTGAAACTGAAGAGCAATTTGGTAAGAACTCCACAGCATCCACAACAAACAAAATGCCAGCTGCTTGAGGCAAGAAGTCATCCAGTTTGGGCCGCAAACGAGAGTGCCCAGGAACATCAACAAGATGGACAGGCTTGACTTTTCTCTTCTGTTAAAATTAGTTTTTCTATTAAAAATGAATGTGGAGTTGGATAAAATTTGGACAATGATCCAAAAACAGAAATAAGAGGCTTAACCCATATGCCTTGTAGAAAAACAGAAAGCATAGTAGAACCTCAGAAAAGAAGGTTAAGGTGAATTACCTTGTTACTTTCAGAGTTCATCACGAAAGTCCCCTCATTTGGTTCCATTGATGTAACAGTACCCTGATGTGAGGAACCATCACGAAGCTGACATGGGAATAATGTCAAGAAAGTTACGACAACATCACACAACTAGACATTTCAATTATTATTGCACATTTGGCAGCCATAACAGGACAATCTCTAGAAGAATTTAGTAATTCGGAAAGTTTTTTAAAAGGAACAACACAAATAATGGCACTGCATACCACATAGTAAAGAACAGTTTTTCCGCTCCCACTAAGGCCAGTGAGTATAATGGTATTTGATTTTGTGCGTCTGAACAAGCGAACTGCAAGACAAAGAGGAAGAAAAAGTAAATATATATAAATTTAAGTTCAATTGAGAAACTGATTATATCAGAAAACTGCCTCGAGAAAATCTCACCTTAAGCCATTTCAACCAAATAGGGTTTAAAGTAACGTCTTTTCTCAATTGGAATCCATAAAATTAAAAACATGGCAACCCACTTTAAGATAACATCTTGTATCTTTAAACGAGTCTAAGTAGGTTTTAATCAAAATGATAACCTAAATGCTCATGCATTGAGAAACTAATAAAATCTAACAAGCGTTTGTAGGTTAAACAATCAATTATTAAGATCAAAACATCTAAGAGACGGCATTTCATTTTTTTAAATGCATAAACCAAGATAAGATATGAAACACGAGGAAAATACTACCAACTAATTTTTCAAGAAACATTAAAATAAGCAGCATTTTTGTTCGATGATTATTATTTATAATGCAAAGCGAACTTACTGGAGAAAAGAAAGATAGTCATGAGCAAGACAGCAATAGCAACATAGAGTTGAGTTGGGGGTATTTCATTCAAATATTCAATAGCAGGATGCAACCACTGCTCCACTTGATTCTTCCACGGCTCCAATTGAATCTTCAACTGCTCTAATTGCTCCTTCCACTGTTCTATCCCGTCCATCGCTAGAGTTTTGGGTTAAACGAGATATGAAAACCTAGAAAACGCAAAACCTAGATTCAATAACTAAATCTTTTCTGAATCATGAACTAAAGAAGTTCTAAAAAACAAGGAAGCTTGTCTGGTTCAAGGCTACACATTGTTTTTTCACTTGGTGAAAGCTGAGTATTTTAGAGGAACGCAGATTCATCGTTTTAACATTCAAAAGTTGGATATTTTCCCCCCGTAATGCTGTCCTATATTATACTATAAATTGAAAGTAACATAGACGTAGAAACAACGATAATCGAAGTTTTAGATCCATTAGATTACGAATTAGCCAAATTGAGATTCAAAAGTACTTCAAATAAGTGGAAAAAAAATAAACCAAATCTCAAATGAGAAAGTTTTCGATTAAGATTTAGGGTAAAATACCAACTTTAGCTATGAACTCGCAATTTCATTAAAATGGAATTTGAATATCAAAGTTGTAAATTACATACCTTTAACGTATTTCCTCTCTCGCGGAGAAAAAGATACTGTTTCTTTTATCTTCCTTCTGGCGAAGGAAAAACCGAAGCACGACTGAACTATGGGGGAATGCTCCCGTGAGTCGTTTAATATACTGTTAAAAAAAATAGGTACCGGTTTTGTTATTGACTAAAAAAATTATCTGTTTTGTTATTATTTTGTATAAAAAAATCGGTAAAAAATTATCAAAAATATTATTATTTTTATCGGTTTTATTATTATTTAATATTTTATCGGGTAAAAATATATCGGTTTTATTATTGTTGTGCATAATAAAATTGGTAAAAATTACCGAAAATATCATTATTTTAACAAAACAGGTAAAGCGCTATTGATTTTGTTATTTTTTTACCGGTTTTGTTATTGTTGGGCATTTTACCGGAAATGTTAAAAAATATTGATGTTTTAAGTAGAAATAATAATATTTTTAGGTAATTTTTACCGATTTTATTAACCTAATAATAACAAAACCGATAAAAATAAACTTTTTAATAATAAAATTAGTAAACACAATTTATACAATTTTTTAAAAAATTCTTTATTATAAATATCAAATACAATAAAATAATATTATTTATTAACAAAATAATAATATTATTTTTAAAATATTAGAATAATTTATTTAATATTATTTATGTCAATATTACTATTAAAATATTATATCTATAATTTAATAAATAAAAAATTATGATTATTATATTTTATTAAAATAAAATTATTATAAATTATATTTATTATTTATTATTATAAGAATAATATATCATTAATTATATTATAATGAGAGAGTAGTGAAACATATGTGTCGATACATTTTCAAAAAATATCGACATATATGTTATATCGAAACCGATAATTATAATGTAATAGGTAAATTTATAATATAACCGATATAAATATACCGATTTTATGAGAGAATAGGTTAACATAATGTATCGACACAAATTTAAAAAGTGTCGATACATTTTGTCCAGAATGAATGCCAAACGAGGTGCACACATAAAGTGTCGATACATTTATTAAAAGTATCGATCCCAAAAACATCGAAATCGATAATTACAATATAATAAGTAAATTTACAATATACTCGGTATAAATATACCGGTTTTATAAGAAAATATGTCTACATAATGTATCGACACATTTTAAGTTTGTGTCGATACTTTTTTCCAGAATGAATGCAACGAGGTGCACGCATAAAGTGTCAATACATTTAAAATTGTATCGATCCCAAAAATATTGAAACCGATAATTTTAATGTAATAGATAAATTTGCAATGTTTATTTTAAAAATAATATTATTATTTTGTTAATAAATAATATTATTTTATTATTATCCTTGGTAACATTTTAAGTGTTTACCTAATATGTTGTAATAACAAATTAAGTAATTAATAAAATAATGTTATATAAGCGGTTATTACTTAACTTGTACGTTATAAAAAGTATTAATGAGTTTTTACGTCATTAAAAACAAAAGAATCCTTATAATAAATAAATAATCTTTGCAAGTTCTTTACAAATTACGTTAATATGTACGTAATAATTAGATAATAAATATTTTTTACAATTCATAAATAATTTATTTTCAAATAATATTCTTATTATATTACATTGTAAACTTAATTACAAGATGCAATTATTTTTTTCGTTAATAAATGAATATAAAAAATATTATAATAAATTAACGTAGCTTTTTTTTATAACGTAGCTTTTTTTTTATAACGTACAAGTTAAGTAATAACAAAATAATGTTATTACATTATAATAAACGTACAAATTATTTTAAAATAACAAAATAATAATTAATCAATTATGTTATCCTTAGTAACATTTTAAGTGTTTACTTAATATGTTGTAATAACAAATTAAGTAATTAACTTATTTTATTATATAAGCGCTACTTATTACGTTATATAAGCGTCACTTATTACGTTATTGTGCTTAATAATGTTTCTTGTAATTAACATATTTTATTATATAAGTGTTACATATTACATTATATAAGTGGTACCTAATATGTTATTGTGCTTGATAATGTTTCCAATAATTAATCTATTTTATTATATAAGAGTTACCTAATATGTTATTGTGTTTGATAATGTTTTCAGTAATTAACCGATTTTATTATATAAGTGATACTTATTACATTATATAAACGGTATATAATATATTATTGTGCTTGATAATGTTTCTAGTAATTAACCTATTTTATTATATAAGCGCTACCTATTACATTATATAAGCGGTACCTAATATGTTATTGTACTTGGTAATATTCTGGTTAAATGATATAACATAACCGGTCTAAATTTTAACCGGTCACTTGTTTAATCAGTCACGCCGTTTTTCAGCCGTTTTTTAAATGCCGCACAGCAGAACTTTCCGAACTATGGAGAAATAAAAAAAAAAGTCTTAATATAAAGGGTAAACTACTCAAATGACCACCTAACTACGGAGCTGAGTCGATATGACCACTATTTTTTCAATTTTATCAATATTACCACATAACTATTTAAGTTGTATCAATCAAGCAACATGTCGTTAAAATCTAACAGGGGGTGATGTTGTACTTAACAAAATTTTATATAATTATAAATTTAATTTTCAATACTTATGAATTAAATTAATTTGATCTTAGTTTTAATTTAATTTAATAATTTAACCCTTCAATAAGGAGGTGACATGTGTCCACATATGCTCGTGATACATACTAAATCCTAAACTCCAATCCTCTAAACCAAATACTTCATTTGGTTAAATAATTATAACACGCCCTATTTAGCTTATAATATTGTTTAAAATAGGAAAAACTAAAATAAAATCCTTTAAATGAGGTTTTGAACCTAAGTCAATTATAAAATATAAGAGCAATTAAACTAATTATAAACTCTAAACCATAGTCTGTTAATTATTAAAAAAATTAAATTATCTAAGTTATTCGAGTCGTATTTTATAACTTGATTTGAACTTAAAAAAAATTCGAGTCGAGTTTATAAAATTACAATTCGATGTCAATTCGAGTTGAGTTTTGCTCACATCTAATCATAACATTAATTTTTAGTTTAATCGACCGATCCGTCCGGTTATGGCAACACTAGTTTTTAGTAGTTTTTTAATCGATCGATTTGTTTATGAAGGACTATGGTGTCGATGTTTGTCTTGTTCAACTCTTTGAACACTGAGTTTGTTATTCCTTTTGAGTTTCCTCATCAACTTGAACAGCAAACTTTATTGTCTGACGGTGGTCATGGTGATTGTAGTTAACGGTCGGAGGAAGTTGAGAGGTTGAAGAAGAGACAAAAATTTAATGTTAATATGAAAATAAATAAATAATTAAAAATTATATTTAAAATTTAATGATGATTAAGAAAAAATTATTTACATATTTTAATTTTATTAATTAAGATCATATCTTATGTGGTGAGGAGGTCTATAAAATAATTTCTCTCCTTTACAGCTTTGTTTCCGGTGTCAGCAGTAAATACAAAAAACTTCATGACCCAACTCCTGCCCCATACTCCTTAACCCACCGACTTTTTCTTTACATATAAATCAGCTCTCAAGACTCCATTAATTGACTTCGTCAATCACTTCCCTTGTTTCTCATCCAATCTATCATCATCTAATTCCTTCTTGTTATCAGCAAGGTAAAATCTAAAACTTGGTGATCCAGAACAAAGAAGATTAGCAGACCGTTCTTTCTTTAATCTTTCAGTTTCTTTAACGTCGTTATCGGAAACAGAGGGTGCTATTTTCGCAAACCGGATGTTATCATCGTTAGGTACTTGAGACAATACGGTGCTGCTTTTGCGGTCATTGGTGGAGCCATCACGATTGAGCAGCATTTGTTTAGAAAGACTAGAGTGGCTCCTTCGTCTCTTAAGCGCATCCAGTTTCCGGCTGAGAAGAGACATCACTTTAGCTTGCACCCTATCTTTTTTATGGTATAACTTTGATGCTTCACACCCCATTGATGACAGAAAAGCAGCTAAAGAGAAATGAAGGGAGAGGAAACCAAATGGATGATGATAATGGTGGCCAAAGAGGGTGCTTTCAGAGCTTATATATATACGCATCTTGTTTTGGATTTGCACTGGTAATTCAACTGTGGGGAGTATAGTTGTTTATAAATCAATATATACCCTCGATTCTTTTGTTTGGTAGGAATTTTCGATTGTTACCATGCTGATTTGCTTATTTGCTAACCGTAAACAACTTTTGGGCACGTGCGTTTTCAGTTTTTGTAGTTACTTCGAATTGATTTTCCAGGGCGTCATTATTTAATTTCTGTTGCTAACACCGCGGCTGCTGTTTCATACTTTTGTGCTCATTTTAAGATCTAATAGTATTGTAATTACATTTACACAAAATGTTACTTTAGATGATGAACTTATAAAATTTTAGGTACTCTCCCGAATGATAAACACGAATTCACAGTTGAATTCGAGGATAATACACCTAACAGAAAGAATGGGAATGCGAGACCTTGTGACAAATGGCACCCTAAATGCGAATGAAAGAGATTAAAACGACCAAATCATTCGAAAATATTTAAAGCGAAGACAAGCTTTGCGGCAAAGATTTTCATGCAGACAATTCAAAATGATCTGCGTAAACAACAATATGAGAACTCACAAGGAGGTTTTTACTCAATATTTATGCATCAACTATAATGATCCGACAGTAGATTTTTTTCACTTGATTATCACGATGTTAGAGATCCCTTCATCATCAATTGAGCCTAGGTTAAGAGACTGCTGAAGATATAAGTCAGTCCATCCAATTAGGAACACATAATTACCAGATTGAATGAATAAATGTTTTCAATGAAGCAAGAATGAGAATGGAGAAAGCAACATCGTAAATTGGTGTGAACTAACAATTGTGCCAATACCGAGGCATGATCTGCTCGATGAAAGATGGTCACTGAAACCACTCTCAAAGATTAAATATGTCAAAAGATTTCACTTTTGCATACATTCTAGACATGAATATAGGATGCATTTTTTATTTTATACATATATGCATGATTTTTGCAGACTTTTCAAGGAAAGAAGAAAATTTGTGATGGTTGAATC